GGAAAGAGAAAGCAAGCTACCAGGTCTGAGACTTGACCTGTGGTTGGCCATGTTTCTGTGAACTGCCCAGCTTGGGGTGCTCTAGACTCTCTGGGTTTCCCTTGGCTTGGCTGACTCTCCTCCTGGTCCCTTAGTGCCTCAGATGGCTCCACGGAGACTCTGGCCATGGTTGTGGTGGAGCCTGGGGAGACTCTGTCCTCCCCCGACTTCGACGGCGGCCCCTTCAGCTCCCAGTCAGACAAGACCTCTCTGAGCACCACTGCCTCATCCATCACGCCCACCAGTGAGCTGCTGCCCCTGGGTCCAGTGGACGGCCGCTCCTGCTCCATGGACTCCGCCTACGGCACTCTCTCCCCAACCTCCCTGCAAGACTTTGTAGGCCCAGCCCCTGTGATGGAGCCAATGCCTGGACCCCCAGAGTTACCACAAGTCTCTTCTCCACCTCCCTCACCCCGCCTTCGCCGCCGCACCCCTGTCCAGCTGCTGCCCCGCCTGCCCCACCTACTCAAGTCCAAATCTGAAGCCAGTCTCCTCCAGCTGCTGTCAGGGGATTCCACCCGTGGAGCACTGTCAGGCCCCAGTCGTAGCCTGTCGGAGCTCTGTCTGGCCGCTACGGCGTCAGGCGCTAGGACTCGGGGCTCTCCTCAGGGAGGTGGGCCTGGCTGGGACTGCCATGGGGCACTTAGCCCTGGCAATGGCCCTGAGCTGTCAGAACGACAGGAGAGAGCCAACAGCCTGGCTGGGGAGCCTGCAGGCCCCACCAGCAGGAGGTGCAGAGAGCTGCCCTCAGGGGCTTCTTCTAGGGCCCAGCTCGAGCCACCCCCAGGAACCTCTGCTCAACACAGGAAGCTGACCCTGGCCCAGCTCTACCGAATCAGGACCACCCTGCTGCTTAACTCCACGCTCACTGCCTCGTGAGTGGCCTGGTCAAGGGTAGAGGGCAGGTGGTTCAGTGTGCTGGCACTGGGACACTGAGTTGGTTAGTGGGTTGTGACACCATCGTGAGCCGGGCGTCAGCATTTGGGGAGGGAGGGGGGAGCCTGAGAGCTGCACCAGCGCTTGGGGCTGGTGTCTGTGGAGGGCAGCAGTGAAGGGTCCTGAGGATTTCCGAGGGGGAAGGAGTGGCTGGGGGGA